ACACACACACACACACACACACCACACACACACACACACACCACACACACACAACACACAACACCTCCCCTTCTGTGCACCAAGTACACAAAATATCACGCTACATCACACTAAAGACACAATTTCCCCACCATGCACACCGTCACCATTAACTCATCACCTTCTTAAAGACGACCAAACCTCATTCACATGCATCACCACCAATTAACGTCATCACCAAAAGACGACCAAACCTCATCACCATGCACACCCGTCACCATTAACTCATCACCTTCTTTAAAGACGACCAAACCTGATCACCATGCACACCGTCACCCTTAAACTCATCACCTTCTTAAAGACGAAAACCTCATCCACCATGCACACCCGTCACCATTAACTCATCACCTTTAACAGACGACCAAACCTCACACCATGCACACCGTCACCAACTCATCAACTTAAAGACTACAAACCTCATCACCATGCACACTCACCATTAACTCATCACCTTCTTAAATACGACCAAACCTCATCACCCCGCACACCGTCACCATTAACTCATCACCTTTTTAAAGACGACCAAACCTCATCACCATGCACACCGTCACCATTAACTCATCACCTTCTTAAAGACGACCAAACCTCATCACCATGCACACGTCACCATTAACTCATCACCTTCTTAAAGACGACCAAACCTCATCACCATGCACACCGTCACCATTAACTCATCACCTCACCTACCTCATGCACACCGTACAACCAATTAACCATCACCTTCTAAAGACTCGACCAAACCTGATCACCAACCTCATCACCCATGCACACCGTCTACCTTTAACTCATCAACCTTTTTAATGACTTACCATGCCACACCGCGTCACCATTAACCTCATCACCTTTTTAATGACGCCAACTCACTCGTCTTTAGACCCGTCACCATTACTCATCAACCACTTCTTAAAAGACCACCAACCTCATCACCATGCACACCGTCACCATTAACTCATCACCTTCTTAAAGACGACCAAACCTGATCACCATGCACACCGTCACCATTAACTCATCACCTTCTTAGACCGACCACACAATACCCATGACCAATCGCACCATCGGGTCACCATTACTCATCACATTCTTAGACGACCAAACCTGCCATTCACCATGACCCACCGGTCCCCATTACATCTTCCCTTCTAGAACAACTCATCACCATCCACCCGTCAATAGCTTCACTACTAAAGGACGAACAAACCTCACTCACATGCCACGCGTCACCATATATTCATCACCTTTTTAAAAGACGACCAAACCTCATCACCATGCACACCGTCACCATTAACTCATCACCTTCTTAAAGACGACCAAACCTCATCACCATGCACACCGTCACCATTAACTCATCACCTTTTTAATGACGACCAAACCTCATGCCCATCATCCCCATTTTACCTCATCACCACCGCTATCATCATACCTCATCAACGCCACCACCATGCCACTTCATCACCACCATACCACATCATCACCACCATAACCCATCCCCGTCATCACCATACCACTTCATCACCACCATACCACATCATCACCACATAACCTATCACGTCATCATACACATCATCACCACCATCACTTCATCCCCGTCATCACCATACACATCATCACCACCATCACTTCATCCCCGTCATCACCATACCACATCATCACCACCATCACTTCATCCCCGTCATCACCATACCACATCATCACCACCATCACTTCATCCCCGTCATCACCATACCACATCATCATCATCCCCGTCACCACCATTCCTCATCATCACCACCATCACTTCATCCCCGTCATCACCATACCACATCATCACCAACATAACTCATCCCCGTCACCACCATTCCTCATCACCACCATCACCATACCTCATCACCTTCATCACCACCAGGTATATGGGCCAGACGAAAAGGGCTACAAGCTACCTTACTCAGGGTTGCATGTCATTGTCTTGCACCCATGCGAAGCCCGTGTGATGAGGGCCCAGCGATTCCTCACTTTCCAACCGGCCGAACACGTGGATTTGGCCGAACTCATCACTTCGATTCAGCCGGGGAGGGTCGTCGTCGTCGTGGCTGTGGTGAGTGGGGGTTGTGGTGAGTGTGGGGGGGGGGTTGTGGTGAGTGTGGGGGGGGGTTGTGGTGAGTGGGGTGGGGAGGGTCGTCGTCGTCGTGGCTGTGGTGAGTGGGGGTTGTGGTGAGTGGGGGGGGGGGGTTGTGGTGAGTGTGGGGGGGGGTTGTGGTGAGTGTGTGGGGGGGGGTTGTGGTGAGTGGGGTGGGGGGGGTTGTGGTGAGTAGGGGTTGTGGTGAGGGGGGGTTGTGGTGAGTGGGGGGGGTTGTGTGAGTGGGGGGGTTGTGGTGAGTGGGGGTTGTGGTGAGTGGGGGATTGTGGTGACTGGGGGTTGTAGTGAGTGGGGGGTTGTGGTGAGTGGGGGGGTTGTGGTGAGTGGGGGGTTGTGGTGAGTGGGGGGTTGTGGTGAAGTGTGTGGGGGAGTTGTGTTGTGGTGAGTGTGGGGGTTGTGGTGAGTGTGGGGGGGAGTAGAGGTGAGTGGGGGGGTTGTGGTGAGTGGGGTGGTGAGTGGGGTTTGTGAAGATTGGGGGGTTGTGGTGACTGGGGGTTGTGGTGAGTGGGGGTTGTGGTGAGTGGGGGTTTGTGAAGATTGGGGGGGTTGTGGTGACTGGGGGGTTGTGGGTGAGTGGGGGATTGTGGTGACTGGGGGTTGTAGTGAGTGGGGAATGTGGTGAGTGGGGGTTGTGGTGAGTGGGGTTGTGGTGTGGGGGGGGGGTAGAGGTGAGTGGGAGGGGGTAGAGGTGAGGGGGTGGTTGTGATGAGTGGGGAGTTGTGGTGAATGGGGGTTGGGGTAAGGGGGTGTGGAGTGATGAATGTTGGTTGTGATGAATTTGATTGCCTTTGTGGTCAAGATGGTTTTATATGGTTTTGATATGGACTGAGGTGAAGTATGACAGTAATCATAATTGTTATAATTGTTATGTTGATTACGATTATGATAACAGTAATGATAATAACAATAATGATAATGATAATAATGATAATAATAATAATGATAATAATGATAATAATGATAATATAATGATAATAATAATAATGATATAATGATATAATGATAATAATAATAATAAATAATGATAATAATGATAATAATGATAATAAAAATGATATAATGATATAAAATGATAATAATATAATAATAATAATAATATAATATAATAATAATAATAATAATAATATAATAATAATAATAAACATCATAATGATGGTGATAATAATAATAATAATAATAATAATAATAATAATAATAATAATAATAATAATATAATAATAATAATAATGATAATAATAATAATAATAATGATAATGATAATGATAATGATAATAATGATAATAATAAAAGGAGCATTAGCAATGATAATGATAATATAATAGTATAAGTAATCATAATAATAATATTTGTAACAACTACAATGATAACGATAACAACAGCAGCAATAATAATAATGACAGCAATGTTGATAATAAGGATGGTAAGGAAGTTGAAAAGATACAATGATGATGAAAATGATAACGAAAATGAGGATGAAAATGATAACGAAAATGATGATGAAATGATGATGATGAAATGATAACGAAATGATGATGAAAATGATAACGAAAATATAATAACAATAATGATGATAATGATATAGATGATAGTGATGATAACAGTAATGACAACGAATGATGAATAACACTTCTCATCCCATATGAATGTCGCCCCAAAAAAATGAAACAAACATTAACAGTCCAATAATTACAGTCAGTTATCAACATCATAAAAAGATCAAATATCTTTATCAAAACTATTAATTACATCAAATCTACCTGTACCTCCACATAACGTCATTGTCATATGGCTTGCATTTTTCATTAGCTGCAATATACGTTATGCAATTTTGATGTTGCTATTTGAATCCGGGATCTGTGTGATTAAACGTAAATACAAATACCAGCTTTCCATTGCATGCAAAATGTGAATAATGAAAGCTTTTCAAGTTTTCATATTTATTCGTTTTAGTTTCGGTTCCGAACGAAAGGGAGAGGGAAGGGGGAGGGGATAGAAAGGAGGGGTGGGAAGGAGAGAGGGGGAGGGGGAAGTGAGGGAGGGAGGGAGGGGGAGTGAGTGAGTGAATGAGGAGAGAGAGAGGGGGGGAGGAAGGGAGGGAGGGAGGGAGGAGAGAGAGAGAGAGAGAGAGAGAGAGAGAGAGAGAGAGAGAGAGAGAGAGAGAGAGAGAGAGAGAGAGAGAGAGAGAGAGAGAGAGAGAGAGAGAGAGAGAGAGAGAAGAGAGACGAGAGAAAGAGGATGAGAAAGAGAAGGAAACCAAAAGACAAAAATAAATTCATATAATCAAACATCAAAAATAACAAAATTCCAAATGATAGATTCATAAATTATCCATAACCGTCAAAATATAAATTCTCCGTTCCTCTCCCTCCCCCTGCCCCCCCCCCCCCTCCATTCAAATCAATCATAGGCCAATGAAATGAACAGGTAACAAAACCCATTATAAATAAACAAGAACATTTATTTATCTGTTTGTAAGTATTTTTTCACTCCCCCATTTTTTGTCAGAAAGATTAAACAACGTAAATTGAAGAGCAACATGGCAGTGTGTATTTGATGATATATATATTTTTAAATACATATATCAGGGTCTAATTCATTAACTCATTGTTCGTTTGTAATTAAAAGCATACAAATAGCTGCACGTTGATGTTATAAAAATGTGTAAATATGTGTGGATTTGATAAACTATATATTCAAGGTTGAAAATTGAGTCTTTTTTTGGCGCGTTAAAAATGGTGATGATGACTCCACGGCGCTGATTGGCTGAATCGCTCACTCGATCAACCAATCACAAGCGTCAGATTTGAAAGCGATCGTTTATGTACTGGAAAACAAAAAACGAAACGTGACGAAACAAGTAAAGCTATATATCTGACAAGCTTTACCTTTCTATCTATTTATCCACATAACATGAAGTATATATATCTTATGAGAATATCAGTATAATCTAAAGAACTAAAATAACCAAGAGAGAGAGAGAAAAACGTTTTTTTCCCTCAACAGCCCAAATGGTTCATGTTTTTCGGAGAAGAAGGGGAAAACGCCTTAAAGAAACTAGGGTTTACTTTTCCCTCGCGCGTAGCCTCGGGTGAACCCTGGCTAGGAATCGCCGTCACAGGTCACAGGGTCATCGCTGAAGCGCTGGCGACAGGTCGACTAGGTCAACATCCACCCGGCGCCTTGGATTTTGCCGTGAGAGTGCCCAAGGTCTGTCGCGAAGGTGAGTTGCAAAGGCTCGTGTTTTTTGCTTTATTTATTTATTTATTTCAGGTGTGGATAGCTTTTTTTTGTAGGATGTTGCTCTCTCGCTTTCTTTTTTTCATGTCTGTTTGTCTGTCTCTCTCTCTCTCTCTCTCTCTCTCTCTCTCTCTCTCTCTCTCTCCCTTCTCTCTCTCTCCTCTCTCTCTCTCTCTCTCTCTCTCTCTCTCTCTCTCTCTCTCTCTCTCTCTCTCTATATCTCTGTCTTCTCTCTGTTGTATGTTTGTGTTTGTGTCACCCAACGCACACACAGAACCATACATGATAGTGCATGCGAATGTAAACAAGCATGGATAACAGATGTAAAGATAAATTCTTCACCAAAGATTTTACAACCCCCCTCCTCCTCCCCTTCCTGTACCCCCCCCCCCAGGCAGACGATGCGACTGGTATGAAGAAGAAAAAATGCAAACTCAAGCGAAATTTTGCGAACTCTACGAAGGCTACGGTGACCTGTGTTCGTGTCATGACCCTTTCACCGCTGACGTCAGGTCAAAACAGGTCAGTTTTTGGGATGTGTTGGTTTTGCTTTGAGAATGATGATGGTAAATTAATGGTGACGATAATTGTTAATGATTTTGATAATGAATAGGATGATAATCTGATAATCTTTAACTTCCATATCATACTACTGATAAATATTTTGTCATATTCAGCGAATCACACATTTTATAAACACACGCGCTATCTGCATTGCGAGTTGCATTAACCCATCAGTTTGATAGAATAAAAAAAAAATAGAAACACTTGATGCAAATATTTTCCAAATTTCTAATACAGGTTTGATTACATTGCAATGTGAAAAATTTCCATATCAATATTTCTAAATCATTATCCGTTGTGTGGGAAGTGAATCTAGCACAATAGATTGATACAATACCCTAATACATTTATTCATGTCATAGAGGAATTGTATGCGTTTGTTGCCTGTAAAAAGAGTGATATATTTGGATATAAAACATTGATTTTATGCATAACGCCCTTTCACGCTGATAATGACAGCATGTAGATAGAATGAAATATTCAGATACATAACATTTTTATTTTTTTGCTCTTCCACACTGGTAATAATCATATCAATAAATTATTCCACAGTATAAAAAGATTACACTAACATACAACTCGTAACATTATGAAAATTGATGTATATCTATATGTCTAGAATGTTGATTATCCACATAGTATAAGAAAAGCTATAACATGCTTATACCTTTATAAAAAATGATATATGTCTATGACATGTCTAGAATATTGATTATCCTCATGGTATACGAAAAACTATAACATGTAACGTTATGAAGATTAATTATTATATATTTGTTAAACGTCTAGAATATTTATTTGACTGGCATATGACAGGCTAAACTGAGTGAGAGGAAGGAGCACATTCCGGTGGTTGTCGTGACAGCTAATAAGCCCAGACATCTTTTTAGGTAAGTTAAAAGGGACGTGTTTTGTGTGGTGTTCGTCTTTATTAGTGTTTGTTTGAAATTGTCTTACTTATTGGTGTTATTTCTTTATTTTGTGAAGTTAGATGTCTGTTTGCATGTTTGGGTTTTCTGTGCTTGTTTGTTTGTTTATGTTTGTCTGTCTATCTCTCTCTCTCTTCTTCTCTCTCTCTCTCTCTCTCTCTCTCTCTCTCTCTCTCTCTCTCTCTCTCTTCTCTCTCTCTCTCTCTCTCTCTCTCTCTCTCTCTCTCTCTCTCTCTCTCTCTCTCTCTCTCTCTCTCTCTCTCTCTCTCTCTCTCTCCTCCCTTTTCTACCCTTACCATTTATTCCACATTGCACACTATTTCAACCCCAACATTAACCCCCCTTCTCCCTCCTCCCCTCTCCCCCTCTCCTCCCCCTCCCCCTCCTCCTCTTACCCTCCTCTCCCTCCCCTCCCCTCCCCTCTCTCCCTCTCTCCCCCCCCCTCTCTCCCTCCCCCCCTCCCTCTCCCTCTCCCCTCCCCCTCTCCCTCTCTCCCTACCTCCCTTCCCCCTCCTCCTCTCCCTCTCTCCTACCCCCTCCCCCCTCCCTCCCTCCTCTCCTCTCCCCTCCCTCCCCCTCCCCCTCCCTCCCCTCCCCTCCTCCTCCTCCCTCCCCCTCCTCCTCCCTCCCCTCCCTCTCTCCCTCCCTCTCCTCTCTCCCCTCTCTCCCCTCTCCCTCCAGACTCCCTCTCTCTTCACCGTCCGCGGCGCGTCCGAAACCGGCGTAGTCGTGGTCGTCGACGGCGTCCACGCGGAGACCCTGGCTTTGGCGGAGGTCTTGGGCGTGGAAGCCGTCGTGCACACGCCCGTCGGCTCGCGCAACGAACGCACGAACGCCAACGTACGCTTCGCTCTCTACACCGTCTTCGCGCAGTTCCCGGATGTGGATAAGGCGATTCTTCTCGAAGATGATTTGCTGTTGGCGCCTGATGTGTTGAGGTAAGGGGGGGGGGGCGCTTGGCTTATTCTGATACTGTAATGTATTCATATTTTTCTCTAGTTTATTAAATGAAAAAAAGATACAGATAAAGATACGTATTATGGGGACGTTCTTATTCTGATAGTGTAATATATTATTTTTCTCTCTCTCTAGTTTATTAAATGAAAAAAATAAAACAAAAACAGATTAGGTATTATTAGGTAGGGGCTGGTCTTATTCTGATACTGTAATGTATTAATATTTTTCTCTAATCTATTAAATTAAAAAAAGGACACAAATAAAGATACGTATTAGGTGGGGACTTGTTCTTATTGCGATAGTGTGATATATTATTTCTCTCTCTCTCTAGTTTATTAAATGAAAAAACAAAACAAAAACAGATAAGGTATTATTAGGTGTAATACACTATTTTTTCTAGTTTATTAAAACAAAATACAGATAAAGATACGTATTACGTGGGGGCTTGTTTTATTCTAATACTCTAATATATTTTTTCTCTCTGGTTTATCAAACGAAACAAAAAGATTACAGATAAAGATATATATTAGGTGGCGGCTTGTCTTATTCTGATAGTGTAAGATATTATTATTTCACTAGTTTCTATATATATAAAAAAATACAGATAAAGATAGGTATTAGGTGGTGGCTTGAATTATTCTGATACTGTAATACATTATTATTTTTTTCTATAGTTTATTGGATAAAAAAAAGAATACAGATAAAGATATGTATTAGGTGGGGACTTGAAGTGTTCTCATACTGTAATATATATATATATTTTTCTCTCTCTAGTTCATTAGAAAAAAAATGTAGATAAAGATAGGTATTAGATAATTTGAGTATCGAATTTTGTGAGGTAGATAAACTTGACTGAATACCCAATGTATAAATAGGTACTTGGGTATTTAAACTCAACGGGTATTTTATCCCAAGAAACAGGGGAAGTAGCTGTTAAATCGATAGATTAATAAGTCATTGGATAGGTAATTTTATTCTGAGAGATAGACAGATTGACTGGTTGATTGGTGTGAAAATAGATTGCTGAATAGGTGACTTATTATTCCCCCTCCCTCTCTCCCCCTCTCCCCCCCTCCTGAACAACACCGCTCACTATAATATCAATCCCCTCGCCCACCCCCTCCTCCCTCTCTCACTCCTCCCCTTCCCCCTCCCCCTCTCCCTCCCTCCTTCCTCTCCTTCCTCCCTCCCTCTTCCTCTCCCCTCCCCCCTCCCTCCTCCTCTCCTTCTCCCCTTCCCCCCAACCTCCCTCCCTCCTTCCTCCTCCCTTCCCTCCCTCCTCCCCTCCACCCCCTCCTCCCTCCTCCTCTCCCCTTCCCCTTCCCCCAACCACACCTCCCTCCCTCCTCCTCCCCCTTCCCTCCTCCTCCCTTCCCCCCAACCACACCTCCCTCCCTCTCCTCCTCCCCTCCCTCCCTCCTCTCCACTCCTCCACTCCCCTCTCCCCTCCTTTCCCTTCCCCCTTCCCCCCAACCACACCCTCCCTCCCTTCCCCCCTAACCACACCTCCTCCCTCCCACCTCCCCTTCCCCCTTCCCCCAACACACCCTCCTCCCCTCCCTCCCTCCTCCCCCCCTCCTCCTCCCCTCCCTCCCCCTCCCCATCCTCTCTCCCCTCTATCCCCCTACAGCTTCTTCCACCAGACGTCCTCCTGGCTCCTGGACCGCGACCCGAGCGTCTACTGCGTCAACGCCTTCAACAGCAACAGCCTTCCCGGCGTGGCCTCTGATCCGACGAAGGTCCTTCGCTCGGAGGCCTTCCCCATGTACGGCTGGATGGTCCGGAGGGCGTACGCGCTGCAGGCCGTGCTGGGATGGATTCCTTACGGGGTAGGTTGGGGGGTGGGGTGGGGTTGGGTGGGGGAGGGTGGGAGGGGGGTGGAGGGTGGGAGAGGGGTGGAGGGTGGGGTGGAGGGGGGGGAGGGTGGTGGGGTTGGGTGGAGGTGGGGGAGGAGGGTGGGGTTGGGGGGGTGTGGGTGGGGGGAGGGTGGGTAGGTTAGGTTGGATCAGGTTGGTTCAGTAGGACTGTTTAGGATTCGGTTGGGGTGGGGTGGGGTGGGGGTGGAGTGGGGGAGGTGGGGGGGGGTGGTGGGTGGGGTGGAGGGTGGTTGGTTAGGTTTGGATCAGGTTGGGTTGGGTAGGGTTTAGGATTGGTAGGTTGGGTATTGGATTGGATAGGGTTAGGGAGGACTGAATAAGATTGGGACGGGTTGGGTTAGGATGGGTAGGATGACTTATTGTGGGAAGATTAGGTAGATTTGAGTAGTGAATTGGATAGGACTATGTAGGATTAGTTAGGATTAGGTAGGACTAGTTTAAATCTAAAAAAAACATAGGATTGGACAGCCTTATGCTGGAGATTTGGAGAAAATAAGTTAGATTAAAGAATGTGGTCTGCTTAAGACTAAGTAAAATTAGTTATTTACACTAATCTTACGATCATTTCAAAATGATTTGTATGGTGTTCTATTATATCCTATTCTATTATAATTGTTGTCAATAACTTTGTGTTTTGTTAAATATATTTCAGTAAAACTGCATGATTATATGTTATATTCTTACAATTCTTACGGTCATCACTGTTATGCTCTGATGAAGTTAAGTTATATTCTTGTAATTCTTGTGGTTTTCGTTCATTTTCTAAAAGGTTAAACGGTTCTTATGGTTATACTCTTACAAAGTTCCAATGTATACACGTGATATTAAATTTTCCTGATTTTTTTGTTTCTTCCATCGAAAATACTTTAGTTCTTTTTTGCATCTATTCCTTATTTTTTGTTATTCTTCTTCTACTCTAACTTCCTCTTTTAGTATCTTCTCTTATTTTGTTATTCCTTCCTTCTCTTCTGTCTCTCCTGATTATCCATGGTTTTATATATATATATATATATATATATATATATATATATATATATATATATATATATATATATATGTGTGTGTGTGTGTGTGTGTGTGTGTGTGTGTGTGTGTGTGTGTGTGTGTGTGTGTGTGTGTGTGTGTGTGTGTGTGTGTGTGTGTGTGTGTGTGTGTGTGTGTGTGTGTGTGTATCCACCCAGTCTTTCGTGGTCTATTCCTATTCACTTCTCTTATCATTCCCTTCTTCCTTGCTTTGTCTTCCTCCCGTTCCTTCCTTACTCCTGGTTCACCTCTTCCTTCTTGTTCTTCTACCTCTTTCTTCTCTTCCGGCATTTTCTAAATTTGTTCCTCCTCTCCATAGTATATTTTTTCCTTATCCGCTTCTTCTTTTTTCGTTCATTTACTTTCTTCTTATCTACCATTTCCTCTCTCTCCTCTTTATTATCTTCCTCCTTCTTCATTTCCTTCATCTCCTTCCCGTCCTCATCTTCCTTCTACTCTTTTACTTCCTCCTTATTCCGCAATTCCTCCTCCTTAGCCTTCTCCGTTTCTATCTTCTCTTTATCATCTAGTTCTCTTCTCCCTCTTTATCTCCCTCTCGTCACTCCCTTTTCGCCTCCCCAACCATTTCTGCCTCTTCTTCATCCTCCATTTCTATCCTTTCTCTTCTAGCTCGTTATCTCCCTCTCTCCACTCCCCCTTCGCCTCCCCAACCATTTCCGCTTTTCTTTATCCTCCATTTCTCTCCTTTCTTTTCTCCCTCTTTATCTCCTTCTCCCCACTCGCCCTTCACTTCCCCAACTATTTCATCCTCCTTTTTATCCTCCACTTCCCCTTTCTCCCTCTTTATCTCTCTCTCCCCACTCCTCTTTCGTCTCCCCCAACCATTTCTGCCTCCTCTTTATCCTCTATTTCCCCTTCTTCCTCTTTAACTCCCTCTCCTCACTCCCCCTTCGCCACCCCAACCATTTCTACTTACACTGTCCCCCATTTCTCTCCTTTCTCCCTCTTTATCTCCCTCTCCCCACTCCCCCTTCGCCTCCCCAACCATTTCGACCTCCTTGCAGATCCCTAATCCTCCAATCCTCCAGTCCCTATTTCTCACTCTTTATCTTCTATTCTAGCTTACTATCTTCTCTTATTTCTGCCTAAGAACACACCTGTTCTCCCGCCCCTAATCCTCCCCCAATCCCCCAGGGGCTCTTCACACCTGTTCTCCCGCCCTAATCTCCCCCCAATCCCACAGGGGCTATTCACACCTGTTCTCCCGCCCCTAATCCTCCCCAATCCCCCAGGGGCTCTTCACGTCTGTTCTCTAATCCTCCACCCCCAAGGAATGGGGCTGTTCTCCCGGGTGGGCGTGAGGGACGGGGGACGCCTGTTCAATCCTCCCAGGTGGGCGACTGGGACTTCTGGCTCATGCGGGCGGACTCCCAGCGCGGGCGTGACCTGGTTTCGCCCGAGGTCAGCCGCACCCTCCACGCGGGGTCATCCGGGACCCACGTCGACGGGTTTGAGCACCGTGTGTACTACGGCCGGATGAAGATGACGGATGACCCGGATGTCAAGGTGGAGAATCTGACGAGGTGGGTGAGTGAGGTGGGGGTGGGTGAAGGGTGGGTGAGTGAGGTGGGAGAGATGGGTGAGTGGGGTAGGGGGGATGGGTGAGGGAGGTGGGGAGTGGGTGAAGGGGTGGGTGAGGTGGGGTAGGGGGGATGGTGAGGGAGGTGGGGAGTGGGAGAAGGGGTGGATGAGGTGGGGTAGGGGGATGGGTGAGGGAGGTGGGAGAGATGGGTGAGGGAGGTGGGAGAGATGGGTGAGGTGGGTGAAGGGGTGGGTGAGGTGGGGTAGGGGGGATGGGTGAGGGAGGTGGGGAGTGGGTGAGGTGGGGTAGGGGGGATGGGTGAGGGAGGTGGGAGAGATGGGTGAAGGGGTGGGTGAGGGAGGTGGGAGAGATGGGTGAGGTGGTGGGTGAGGTGGGGTAGGGGGATGGGTAAGGTGGGGTAGGGGGGATGGGTGAGGTGGGGTAGGGGGGATGGGTGAGGAGGTGGGAGAGATGGGTGAGGGAGGTGGGAGAGATGGGTGAAGGGGTGAGTGAGGTGGGGAGTGGGTGAAAGGGTGGGTGGGGTGGGTGAGGAGGGTGGGTGGGGGTGGGTGAAGGGGTGGGTGGGGGGCGGGTGAGGGATGGGTAAGGGGGTGGGTGAGGTGGGTGGAGGTGGGGGAGGTGGGTGGTGGATGGTTGAGATAGGTAGGGAGTGGGTGAGGGGGTGGTGAGGTGGGTGGGTGGGGGTGATGAATGGGTGAGGGGGTGGGGGGTTGGATGGATGAGGTGTGTGGGGAGTGGGTGAGAGATGGGTAGGAAGGGGTGGGTTGTGGGCAAGGAATGGGTGAAGTGGGTGGGAAAGGAACGGATAAATGTGTGGGTTGTGGGTGAAGATTGGATGGGCGTGGATGTGTGAGATGGGGAGGAATGGAAAGGAAAAGGTGGATGAGTGAGTATATTGTGGGTAAGGAATGGATAAGGTGCGTAGGAGAGGTGGGTCAAAAGGGTGGATAGGTGAGTGGATAGTGGGTAAGGAATGGGCGAAGTCGGTGGGGAGGAATGGGTAGGAATGGGTGGACAGTGGGTAAGGTAAAGCATATGTAAGGTGGATAGGAGGGATGGATAGATTCAATAAAGTCCTTTTGGAATGTTGATATCAGTTATCTGACATTTTCACTAAGCTACATTTAACCCACAGAGTCTAAACACATAGTTACCATCATGGCGTATTGAAAATATAACAAACATCTAAATACTCAAATTATAACAAACCCACACAACACAGCAAAGCAATAAAAACAACAAAAGCACAAGGTAAAAAAACAATAACAAAACTCTTACACTCGTATCCCCTCAGCATCCTCTTGGACAACTACATGCGGAATCTAACGGACGAAATTAAGTCCGCTGAAATGTTGTCGCCAAATCCTTTAGAAGAAGTTCTTGTACCCGAAGGACATCCGGGACCTTTTGTGGTGTTCGTGAGGTCCGGCACAAGGAATGATGAGTTTTACAGCTTCAGGGTATTCATGATGGTGAGTCAGAAGAAGTTATGGTGAGTTGTTTCGTGCGGTTGTATTTGGGGGATATTTCGGTGGGTTGTATTTCTATTTGGTGAGTGAGTGAATTGCATGGCATTTTTTGAAATATTTTAGATAAGTTGATAAATAGATCAGCAAATGGATGAATATACATGAATAATAAATTCTTAAAAAAAATAAACAGAAAAAAATGAAAGAAAAAAAAACGAATATAAAATATATGAAGTAAAATTTTAAACTTTTATCAATACCAACCTACTAAAACACAATACTTTACACCAAAATACATACACGAATAAGCAAACAAAACAGTTACAACCACCATTAACACTAGCAACAACGAACCTTCACCAACCAAGCACACAACGCCAGTACAAGCCACAATAACCAATCACAACCACAACAACCCACGAGCAATCACAACCACTCACCAACCAACCACATCCGCAACCAGACCCCCCAAAACCCAGCCCCTTCATCAACAACAATCCCCGCCATCTTTCCAGAGCCACCACCACAACTACAACAACCAACCACAACCAAAACCCTCCAAATCCAACCCACTTATGAACAACTATCCCCGCCATGTTATCATAGCCACCCCCCCCCCCCAAAAAAAAAAAAAACTACAACCAAAATCTCGCCCCCTCATTAACAACCTTCCCCCGCCACCTTCGCAGAGCCACCCCCCCCCAAAAAAAAAAAAAAAACAACCACAACCACAACCAAAGCCTCACCCCCTCATTCCGCCGCCATCTTTCTAGAGCCACCACCACAACCCCCCCTCAAAAAAAACAAAAAAAACAAAAAAACACAAACCCCTCGCTAACAACTTCCCCGCCATCTTCGCAAAGCCACCCCCCCCCAAAAAAAAAAAGAAAAAAAAAAACAAACCACAAACTACACCCAAAGCCTCACCCCCTCATTCCGCCGCCATCTTTCTAGAGCCACCACCACAACCCCCCCTCAAAAAAACAAAAAAGAACAACCACCACCACCAAAAACACAACCCCTCACTAACAACCTTCCCCGCCATCTTCGCAGAGCCACCCCCCCTCAAAAAAAAAAAAAAAAAAAAAACCACAAACTACAACCAAAACACAACCCCTCACTAACACCTTCCCCGCCACCTTCGCAGAGCCACCACCACAACCCCCCTCAAAAAAAAAAACAACCCCTCACTAATAACCTTCCCCGCCATCTTCGCAGAGCCCCCCCC